AAGTATATTGATCTAAAATTCTATATTAGTTGATGATGGTGAAGTCGGATGCTTTAGACTTTTAATTCTTGGTGTTAATCAAAGTTAATTTAGTTTTTCTTTAATTAGTTTAGTTATTTACTTTATTCAAATCATTTAATTTCAATTGTTCAAATAAAATTAGAATTTATTAATTTTGGTACTTAATTAGTCTACGGTCTCTATGGGACGATACTCTATTTTCATCATTATATTACTTGAACAGACTAGTACACTTGCTAGAGTGGAATTAGCTCATCATATAAAATGTAAAGTTACATAAAAACCCTTAATATAAAACAAAATTACAAAATATGCCTATTTCCTACACTCTCCCTCAAACTGAGGCTGGGAAACCAGTGTCAGTTTGCTCACTAAAAACTTGTGTCGTGCAGTTGTCATTGCCTTTGTAAAAATATCTGTTATTTGATGCTCAGAAGCAATATAAGGAAGAGTAATGGCACCTGCAAGATACATATTCCGTATAAAGTGGCAATCCACTTCAATGTGCTTGGTACACTCGTGAAAGACAGGATTAGATGTAATACGAATAGCACTCATATTATCAGCATAAAGAGGTGAAGGAGGAGTGGGAAAAGTAAGTGTCTGTAAAAATCCTTGAAGCCAAGTCAATTTACTACATGTTGAAGACATTGCTCGGTATTCAGCTTCAGCAGTGGATTTGGACACTGTTTTTTGTTTCTTGCATTTCCAAGAAATAAGGGAATCACCAAGAAACACACACCAACTTGTGGTTGAGCGACGTGTATCAAGACAACTTGCCCAATCAGCATCTGCAAAAGCTTGCAATTGCATACAAAGATGAGAGGAGAAGAAAAGTCCCCTCGAAATAGTGCCACGAAGATATTGAATTATAAGAAGAACAGCCGTTAGATGTAACTGCCGAGGATCTGCAACAAATTGACTAACCACTTGCACAGCATAAGGAATATCAGGTCTAGTCATAGTAAGATAAAGGAGGCGACCTACAAGTTGACGATAAAAGCTAGGATTAGAGAGTTTTTCACCATCCCCCTTCTTAAGCTTGACATTTACTTCCATTGGAGTGTCAACACATTTATCATCAGATAAATTTGCAAATTGAATCAAATCCAGAACATACTTCCGTTGATTCACCGCATAACCTCAAGAAGATGAGTGAACTTCTAAACCAAGAAAATAAGTTAGTGGCCCCAAATCTTTCATCTGAAAAGAACGACAAAGTAACTCTTTCAACTTAGCAATACCTTCCTTATTACTACTGGTAATAAGCATATCGTTGACATAAATCAAAAGTAGGGTAACACCTTGCGTAGAGTTATGCATGAACAAGTAATAATCATGAGAACTCTAAACATACCCAGCATCCACAATAACTTGACGGAAGCGTTCAAACCAAGCTCAAGGAGCTTGCTTAAGACCAGATAATGATCTCTTTAATTTGCAAACCATGGATTTAGAATGTGAATAACCTGGAGAAGGCTTCATATAAATAGTTTCTTTCAAATTCCCATGCAAAAAAGCATTCTTCACATCCATTTGAGAAATAGGCCACTGATGCATTGCCGAAAGAGCAATAAGTAATCTCACTGTAGTCATTTTAGCCACTGGTGCAAATGTTTCTATATAATCAATTCCATACTCTTGCTTATAACCTTGGGCAACAAGTCTTGCTTTATACCGCTCAATACTACCGTCTGCTTTGAACTTAACAGAAAAGACCCACCTGCTACCAATAATAGACACATTAGAAGGACAAGGTACCATATCCCAAGTATCATTCTCCAATAAGGCACTTAATTCAGAATCCATAGCTTCCTTCCAGCAAGGAATGCTAACAGCCTCCTGGTAAGAACGAGGTATATCAACAAAATCTAATGTTGTCAACAAAGAGACAGAGGTAAAAAGGTTAAGACGATCAGGTGGACGAATAGTATGAGCAGAACGACGTAAAGAAACAATGGAATTATTAGCGGCATTAGAAGCAGGATTAGAATCACTTACTGATTGAGCATCCACAAGTGTACCATCTTTTGGTTGGTGAAAGGAACAAGTTTGAGTTTGTTCATCTGCTACATGGAATTGATCAATGGAAATTTGTTCTACTGGAGCATTATGATCAAGTGAAAAGTCATGCAACACAGAAGGTGAGGAATTATTGGGTTTTGCAATTACATCAAAATAAAATAAATTTTCCAGGAAAACCACATGTCTAGAAATACGAATTCTACCAATTTTTGGATCATAACACAGGAAACCCTTTTGATCAATGCCATATCCAACAAAAACACACATGGCAGCTTGGTTTGATAATTTTGTCCTTTCATGAGATGGTAAATGAACAAAGCACACACAACCAAAAACATGTAAACGAGAATAATCAGGATGGCATTTATGCAAGGAGTAATATGGAGAGGTGTTATGCAATACTTCAGAAGGAATACGATTAATGAGATAGATTGTTGTAAAAGCAGCCTCAACCCAAAAATTAGGAGGAGCATGAGAAGTAGATAACAAAGTCCTAACTACCTCTAAAATATGACGATTTTTCCTTTCAGCAATACCATTTTGCTGTGGGGTAGTAGGACATGACCTCTGAGACTGAATACCCTCAACCTTCAAAAATTCTTGAAATTCTTTTAGTAAATATTCACCCCCAAAATCAAAACGAAGAATTTTTATATTAGTATCAAATTGTGTTCTAATCATGGACAAAAAGGTCTTAAAATGAGAGAACACGTCAGATTTGTGTCGCATAAAATATATCCATGTGAATCTTGTGCAAACATCGATAAATAAAACAAAATACTTATATCCCAATCTAGATGAAACAGGAGAAGGACCCCAAACATCACTATGTATCAAATCAAAAGGTTTAGTTGGAGTTGAAGAATGAGTTGGAAAGGGTAAGTTTGCACTTTTACTCAAAGAACAACTAATATAAGATTTATCAATGGAATCCAATGGCAAAGTTTTATTATTCAAAAAACCAGAAGTAAATAATGTATCTAATCTCTTAACATTGAGATGACCAAGTCTACGATGCCATAAGTGTCAAAGATTATGAGAACTAGAGACATCTTTATTAGAAGAAACAAATAAACCAGCATCACTATGTCCTTTGTCAAATTCCAAGGCAAACAAGCGACCAATCCTACGCCCCTTCCCTTTCACTATCCCAGTGCGACGGTCCTGTATAACACAACCAGAACGAGAAAAAGAAACAACATGATCAAAATCATCAATAAGTTGTCCAACAGAAATTAGGTTGGTAGTTAATTTGGGTACCAAAAAGACACTTGGCAAATGAAAAGAGGATTGAGATGCCACAGATAATGTAAGATTATCTGTACCAACTATATCAAGTTTTTCACCATTTGCAGTTTCAATTTTATTATTCCCTTGAAAAGGTTTGGCTAAACTAGAGGTAGCATGAGCTCTAGTCATATGATTTGAAGCACCAGAGTCAATAAACCAAAGAGGATTTACAAAAGAAATAAATGTTGAATTCTTACCAGATAGACCAATAGTAGAAAAAGCAGAAGTAATAGCTAAGAATACTGAATTCTGTACCAATTTTCGAACTTCATCTAAGATAGGTGAATCTTTGCCTTCAACAAAACTAGGATTATTTGTAGCAGATGATGTAGTTGACAGTGTAGGAATTGATTCAGGACATGGAGAACTAGTTGCTTGATATACTCGATGATTGGATTTCTGCTTGGAATTAGTCCCCTTTTTGCTTCAGCTCAAGACAATTTGTAATAATATGTCCAGATTGTTTG